GAAAACTACTAACCGGCTACCACTTAATGATATTATTATTATTATTTTATTAATTATTATTATTATTTTATTGAATTATTAGGAAATTTTAGGTCAAAACTCGTAATTCTTCAGATTCGAAACCACAATATGTAATATTAATTTCGTCTGAAAAATCACTTGATTCAGCGCTCTAAGTTAACACTAAGTGTTATTATAAATTGCATTCTTATTTACACTTAGTTGGGATGATAATCACAATATTTACGTGATGTAAAACAGCCAAAATTTATTTATTCCATTTCTATAATCATTGATACAAGATAACAAGGACAAAGCACAACAACAAGAACAAATATAATCAGAATCTGTTCGATAGAATTTATGTTTTTTTAGAAGAGGTCCAAATAAGAGATGATGAGTTGGAGGTTTATCAAGAATAATGAGATCTTTCACACTATTGCAAAAGAAGGGAGAGTGTATGAAGACAGATACGTGATAGGGATGTGAAACATCTTGGCTAACATTAGAAGAAGATTCCATAAAGGATTGGATGAGTGCAAAGTATTGAGACGTCTCTACTTGGTTGCGTTTCTTTCTATTTTTAGATTCGATTATCTTACATTACTTACTAATTCCTATATTTATTTTTTCTATATTATATTTCTCTTTCATCCGAACTCGAAAGAAAACAGTGGATGTTGACTTGTTCCACATAGGATAAAAAGAAGAGAAAAAGTTGAGGTCCGAAGTTTAGGAACAATTAATATTTTATAGCCACCAACTTCACACACGCCAGAGCCAAAAAGCGAACAAGAGGACTGAACACATAAAATAGGAAAAGTAAGATCTATGTACGACTTAACCTGAGACCCAAAGAAAACTTGTCATATTCTAAGATTTCACTTGTAACGAATTTATTCAGTTGCTCAAATGATTTTAAGGGACATTTTTTTAATAAAATGATTGGATTGTAGGGGATCACTTCCTTTTAAGTTTTATCTCATTCTTGTAGATCTAACAATTCATAGCAATTCACTACAAAAAGTGTGTGTTTACATCACTTATGTTATATATTTATATTAGTTAAATATTAATATTAAAATATTTTGCATAATTTAAATAAGTGAAGTGATGATATAAATACTTTACGTCGGTTTTACAATTACTTGCTTTGCTGTTAATATGTATCAATTACAAAAAGTAATATAAAGATTTACATCAATTTATATAATTGATGCTAATATTTGTAGCTGTTATAATTATGGTAAAATTATGGTAAAATTATAATAAAATTATTAATAATTATATATATATATATATCATTTGTTAATAATTATGGTAAAATTGTGAACATATAATTTAGAAATAATTGATATTCAAATTAATATAGGTTTATCTAATTAGTTGTAATCGCGTTTGAAACCACAAAATGACTAATTTAAGTTTGTTTACACTCTAAAAATTTTACAAACCAATCGAGAACTGATTAGTAATATTAACCAGAAAATTAATATGGTAAATTAGATTATATTTCGTGCGTCTGAAAATTTTTTTTTTTGTAATTTAATTTTATAATATAATTTTTATTTTTTTATAGATATAATATCTTTTTAATAAATGATACAATTTATTTTTTGTTTAGATAAAATTTGTTTTTATAATAAATTTGATCACGATCATAAAAACATAACTTTAATCTGTCCATTCGATTAATCAAAAAAAAAACTATAAATATAAAAACATAATTTTAACATATCTGTTCGTATTACAATATAATATATATATATATATTTTTAAATTATAAATATTTAAGATTTTAAAATAATTGATTATGAAAAATTATATAATAATATATTGTTTATTATATTTATCATTATGAAAATATTATTTAAATTTGGATATTTAAAAGAAAATATATTAATATCATATTTACTATTTTTTAAAAATAATAATAACTAATTTTGTAATTTTGATAATTAATCCTAACTATAACTAAGAAAATTCAAAGTAATTGAATTAAAATTTAAAAATTATGATATTAATTTTAAAGATAAAATTCAGATAGATTATTTTATTAATTTCAAAATTAAATAAAACAGATAAATAAAATTAAAATTTTTGTTTGGCAACAGAAATAGTAGATATTTAGAAATAGAATCGTAGAAAACTAAAAAAATCTGTTTGGACAAAACATGTTTCTATTTTAATAGAGAAGATTAAAAGTTATAAATAATTTTATTTTATAAGGATATTTTTAAATCTCATCTATATAACTAACGATGTGGGACTTTCCCTCCCCCCCCTCTTTAATTTAATTTATTTAATTTTTTTTTGATGTTTGTTGATGTAAATTTTGTATCATTTATTTAAATGATGCTAACAAAAATTATTGGATGCATCATGCATCAGTTATTATATTATTCTAGTTTGTACAAAAAATTATTAGATACAACAATATTATATTATTATTAAAATAGATGTGAATTTATATTATTATATCAATTCTGTTTAAGTGATGTAATTTAGTAGAGATTGTATCAGTTTTTTTTAGTGGACGTCAAACTAGCCAAAAACTACATCGATTATCATAAATGATGTTAAATTATAGATTTTATATCTTTAGTAATAAATAATTCAAAATAAAATTATTTAATGTTGTGATACTATTTAACTGATGCAATACACTCTTTTGTTTAAAGTGATTATTGGTATATGTATCGGTATCACCAAAGTATTTTTACTCACTTGGTTGGTCGTAACAGAATTTGTTATTAAGTTAATTATTCAGCTTAGAGACAAGTATACATCTATGAACAATGTAGACTTTTTAGCTAGTAAGAAAACCTCCTATATAAACATTATGACGATCATTTCTCTTTCTTATTCTCTCACCTCCCTTTCCATTCACATTGTTTGGACTAGATTTTTGTATCCTCCAGACTAATTTTTTCTTTATTGTTATAAACTGTAAAATTTCCGATCTGCAGTAAAATTGCTAGAACAGACCATGGTTGAAATTTGGGAATACTACTAAACAAACGAAGTTAGACTTGTTTCATGATCTAAATTAATCTGCTAAGTCGAACGGATTGTTAAACTTAGTCGGATGAAACAAGAAAAAACTGAGATGTGCAGAAAAGAAGTGAAATGAGTTAGATGACTGAGCTAAACTACTTAGATCAATTGTTGGGAAGCTCAATTAAGCTGGGAAAAGATCATATAATTATAGCATTTTTACTTTATCGTCTTAAAATAGTTATATGGGTGATCTCACTACAGGTTGGTGATCTCATTACAGGTTGGTGCCTGATATCCTTGCGACAACAGGAACAAACTTTGGTGAGTTTTATACTTATAGATTGATCACTAGGCGGTAGAATGAGTTTTTATACATAGGATATGAAAAATTTATTGATTATGTAATGTTATGAAATTAAAACACGTAGAATAATCTAGTATATTATATACATTATTCTATTAAAATATTATATTTAAAAATGATTAATTTTTCTATCTACCAATATATAATTAAATATAGATTTGATTTTCTATCTAACAATATACAATTGTCAAATGGCGTTATTAAAAAAAATATAATAGTAAAGCAATTGCATGGTATTTCACAAATATTTGGCTCATGGTTAGTTATATATTTCACCCAATTACATTAAACAAAAAGATCGAGAGACTAGTTGAGGTAATAAATTAAGAAGAAAAGAGAAAGAAAGAAAAGTCGTCGTTTAACGTAAGTCTTTTAACGACTTAAAAAACTTAAGTCTTTTAAAATAGATATATAAAAACAAAACAAAAAAAAGTATATATGTATCGAATAAACCAGACGGTGGCATGATAAAAGGTTTAGAAAAATAAAAGACAAGTGGGGGACAATCTATCTATCTCGTTGTAGCGAACAATTAATCTTGTCTGCGACCAAACTTTCTGTACATTACAATGTTTGTTTTCGTGCTAATGTAAACAATGGCGATCGAAAACTTTTTTTTTATCGAAAGTACTTTCAATAGAAGATATATTTTTACTGATAATAGGGAGTAGTTTTTCTATAAACTTATTAAAATAACATATTAAATAAAATTTATTTAAAATTTATTCAATAAAAACAAAAAAGAGTAGGGCTTGACTTTCGTTCTTACGTCCGCCCCTGTATGTAAATTAACATGTATAAAATAACAATTTACATGCATGGCTTTTGTATCATTTCAGCTCTCTTGAATGACATATACATGTAACTAAGGTTACTGAAAAATATGCAACTAAGGTTACTGAAAAATATGTAACTAAGTTCCAGTGGCCAGAAACTAATCATGAATTTTAAGCAAGAAGAATAAAATTAATAAAGATATTACTCATTTTCCGGTTCTAGTAGTCTAGTAGACACATATGTGGCATAAAGATATTATAATTTTTGATTTTCTGTTCTTCAAAGTTATAATAGTAGACACATATGTGGCATAAAGATATTTCTCAGTCTTCCGATCACCCCATAAAAAAAAAAATTCAATTATGCCATATATGTGTCTACTATTAAGCCAGATCATATTTTACAAATCAAATCCAATGGTTATTCCTTATTTTGAACTTTATTGTAACAAAAACAAAACTTTTTTACATTATTTAGTCGGTTGAAACATAATATCTGTAATATAATAAAAAAAAACTTCAACTATATTACACCGAAACACTGTATATGGTCGAGAGAGGTCTTTCTTTTTTTTTTTTGGTTACAAGTCGAGAGAGGTATCTAGTTAAAGGAAATAAATAAAATATTATTGGTTAACAAGTGGATGAGATATAATTTGGAATATTACCAGTCTAGCTATTAGTGGTGGTTTTGGAATACCACAAGGAGGATATGAAATAAGAAGACAATATGTGATGTACGTAGAATCAGTTTTAGATTCTCGTACATCACTGGACAAGAAAAAGATTGTGGTGATGAGTTCACCGACCCCGAGTTAGTGCAATTCCCGAAACACTATATATATATATAAGTTACACGTAGAGGGTTCATAATAAGATACGAAAACAATATAAAAAACAGTTACAACAAAAACTAACTGTTTGTTTTAGATTAAAGATGTCTCATGCGAGAGACCCTCTTGTTGTAGGGAGAGTTGTACCTGACGTTCTTGAACTTTTCACGAGATCGATCTCTCTAAGGGTTACTTATGGTCAAAGAGAGGTGACTAATGGCTTGGATCTAAGGCCTTCACAAGTTCTCAACAAGCCAAGGGTTGATATTGGTGGAGAAGACCTCAGGAACTTCTACACTTTGGTTCTTTTACTTGAACTCTCTCTCTCTCTTTTTTTTTTTGTAACATTTGACTTGAACTCTCTTCTTCTTTAGTTTCTTCATTGCTTCATTATTTTTATTTTTCAATATATATCTTGGCCATGCAGACCCACAAAGAGACTTAGAGATATTAATTAAATGGTTGTTTTTCGGGTTTCTTATGATTGTGATTGACTTTGCTTTTAGACAGTCGAATCAAAAAGTAATTTTACCTTATTGCCATGAAGATGAATACATTAGATATTTCATCCAGCCCCAAACTAAATGTTAAATAATTTAATAATATTTTACCACAAGTCTCTTGTTTTGTGGCTCTTATCTAAATCCCAGATTTTTTTTTACCAACTTTTTTTTGTATTATTTTCTTTCTATTTCGGGCAAGAATTTTGGACTTTTATTTGTTCCTCCAATAGTTTAAATGTATTTGTTTGTTCTTTTTAATCCTAAGATACTTTTTAAAAAGGTACTTTTAGAAAGGCAATATATAAATATCTGGATTCGAATATGCAAAAATAAAAATCATATTTATATAAGGGAGCATATATTCGTCAATATATATATATATATATATATATATATAACAGTTGTTCAGTTTAGATAGATATATAGATATGATCCCTGTTGACTGTTGTGGAACATGTGATGAGTGTTTGAATAAGTATATTCAAGCCAGTCTTTTACTTTGCTATTTATATAGACATGTAACTACTACCTACCTTATTCTATTCATTTTTGTTTTTTGTTTTACTTTCTCGTATTATCTCATTTCTCAAACCTCAAAAAAAAAAAAAAAACTATTACTTTCTTGATCAATTTGAGGATGATATATCATCCCTCTATTTCTTGGTCCTCTTATTTGTAACGGAATCTAATGGTTATGGTTTGAATGAAGGTTATGGTGGATCCAGATGTTCCAAGTCCTAGCAACCCTCACCTCCGAGAATATCTCCATTGGTGTGTGCACTATTTCACCTTTTTCTTATTCACTTCAAGTTATAGCCACACAGATTCTATAGAGTATATATAGGACATGACTTGTAGTAAGATCTGGTTTTCCACTTTATAGTGGTGTTTGTACGTAATCGCCTTGGTCTTGAAAAGTGAAATAGCCTGACGACGTGTCTTTGTGACACGAAGTGAGAAGGACTAGGTTTCCTGTCATATAGCTACCACACACAAAACATATCTCTCAAGTTTCTTGTAGTCTTACTTTTATGTCTGCTTGCACCATATAAATTATAGCATTTTAACTATATCTTAAAATAACTATATGGGTGATCTCATTACAGGTTGGTGACTGATATCCCTGCGACAACGGGAACAAACTTTGGTGAGTTACAATACTATAGATTGATCACTAGGTGGTAGAATGAATTTTTATACATGTGATATGCAAAAATTATTAATTTAGTTAAGTTAGCAAAAATTATTAATTTAGTATAGGTAGAAGAATTCACACGTGTTTGATGATTATTTTCAAGGCAATGAGATTGTGTCGTACGAAAGTCCAAGGCCAACCTCAGGAATTCATCGTATCGTGCTGGTATTGTTCCGACAGCTCGGAAGGCAAACAGTGTATGAACCAGGGTGGCGCCAAAACTTCAACACTCGTGAGTTTGCTGCGATATACAATCTTGGCCTTCCCGTGGCTGCGGTTTTCTTCAATTGTCAGAGGGAGAGTGGCTGCGGAGGACGAAGAAGTTAGATGGTTTCATCAATTGATATTGCATACTCTTGTGAGATTGGTGCATCTATAGCATTAAAATAACCAATTTCTAATCCGAGTAACGAACGGTGATGATTACTATAGTAGCTGAAAGTATGTATTGAATAAACGAGAGAGGGAGGAATATGACTGTGTTTTTATTATATGGTGTGTGATGCAATATATTTATATCATTCTGCATGAAATATATTTTTATATAGCTACGTTACGTATTTTTCATTTATTCTGGATGCAACGTTATCTTAACATTCGAAAAAACGGACTTGAAAAATAGCCAGTGGCAGTGGAATCTGCTTCTTTGTCCTACTTTGAGTTCATCATCCCATAAATCATAATACACTTTTTATGTAGCCAATCATCATATATTTTTATCTTTAAACTTAGAAATATATATATGTATGCATCTGGTTTCTAGCTAGGGTCAAGAGATTATTATGGCCTTGATCTTGGTCAAGGTCAATAAACGAATCATTTCATGCATGGAATTATTTAACCGCTTTGCTTCGCCATTCGTAAACCCTCGCTCAAGTAGTCAAGTGGCAAGAGTATTAACCAAATATCGATAGTTTGACATTGAAAACATCAAGGAGAAATATAAAATCGCATGATCGAGTGATATATACTTGGGATGACACCAGGTTACGTATTATGATCTCAAACCTACGGTGATGTGCGGATCTCAGCCAAAAGTCTCCTAAAGTCCTAATCATCATCAAAACAAATAAAAATAAACTAAAAAAGTTGTGTATGTAATAATTGAATATATAAGCTCGAACACGAAAATAAAATTTAAGTTAGAGATGATTAAAATATACGTCAATCGAACCACACAATTTTCATTCAATACATGCATAAAACAATACAGGAGGAACACCAATATAATTTACAATATAGGTCACGTATGAACACATAAGTGCGAGATTGACTCCCAGAACCAAAACATTATGTTTTAATCCTTACAACATCTACTATATAATAGTTATTTTTTGAGTTCATTAATTGTTATTTTCGAATTTCTTCAACCAAATCATGATCAAAAGATAATTTTTAACTTACCATGTAATAGATTTAGATATCAAATATTGGTTGGGACTTTGGATACATGTTGGGACTTTGGATACTTGTTAATTTTTAATATCAAATACTCCTTCCGTCCTTCCGTTTCACAAAGAGTGTCGTTCTGACATTCTTCACACAAATTAAGAAATAAGATAAAATGTCTCTTATACCCTTATTAATTTGTAGAAAATGACTCTTTGAATCATATTTATAATTAATTTTCTGAATTTATTGAAGTTAAAAATGATATTTTATGTTAAAAATTACATTGGAATTTTAAAACGACATTCTTTTTGAAAAAAAAAAAGTGTCAGAACAACACTCTTTATGAAACGGAGGGAGTATTGATGTGTCAACCTCTGGATATTATTATTAGATAAATTAGATTAGATTGAATAATAAATAATCAATTACCTAACTGTCGTATTTATTGTAATAGAAACAGAGTTATAATAGATATTTTGTTTTAATCGATATACGACACCTAAAGTGAAACAAAAGAAGTATTAACCAATATCACAAGCTTCTTACCAACTCATACGGTTCCTTAGAAGTTAGAACCATACAGTAACAGTCAAGTTTTTGTTTTAAAATCCATTATAGTTAATTATCGCACTCTAAAAAAATAGGCATTTTAATCGTTTAAAATGTCTACACTAATCAAAAGAAACTACAACGAGTTAATTTTGTGGATATTGGAACTCGATTCTTTTTATTTGTAACTTGCATGGCTTATTGTCTATCCAGTTGAACAGATCACTAGATCATACGCGATTGGTTAGTGACAGTCAGTTTAGTATCATAATAATCAGTTTAATATCATAATAATCATGAGTTATAATTTAAACATAAAATAAAATTGAAATAAAACAGCAGCCATACAAGAAGGTGACAAGAATCTTGTGCTTTAAAAAACATCCGTGCTTATCTTAACCAGAAATAGTAACATAAGAAGAATTTGCATCCAAAATTAACAGGCAATGTCTAATTTTATAAAGTATAGTTATTTAGAGATAAAAAGCAATAGGACATTTTCATCAAAAAGAAACGGAGAGGTGGCATGATTATTTTCTTTGAAAAAGAAAGAGATAAGAGAATATTATCATAAAGAGAGATTGATTGTAGTTCGATTGGTGCACGTGTTCCACCTCTTGGGACTTGATATTCGCATGTGATTGTACTATGAATATAACATGTCACTATGTCATCAACCAACAAAAACAATGGTTCATTATTTTCAGATTTTCACCATCACTGCAGGGAGAGTCTAATTGATACACTCCTCGTGTATTCCACAAGAGATATTTATATATTTGAATAGTTGAGAGCCTAAAGCCTCGACTACTTTTGTTAGTGGGCCCTTTAATTTTTAGTTTGACTTTTCGTTTTTTTTTATAATAGTTTAATTTAGAATAGATTTTTGTGTGGTATACACTTATACGTAGAAAAATTTGTTATCGTTCTTTTTTGGATGACTATTAAATTTCATTCAAAACCCAAAAAAATAATTGTTTCTACATAGGATTACTTTTAGAAATTAAAAACACAAATTGGTTTTATAGATAAATCAACTTTCTCACAGAATCACTAGTCTAAAAACAAACCAGATTTATATTCCTTCCTCGTATCTTATATCTCTTTACAGCCGAATTGAACTGAACCGATTCTTAGGGGGTGTTATTCAATCATGGTTTTTAATAGAGTTTAAATCCATCTATAATCCATTGTTATTCAATAATTGATTTTGATTTCTCCTTCAAAATCCAATGTTATTGGTTCATGTATTTACAATCTCTTCATTAATAGAGTTTGAAATCCATTGTTATTCAATTAAAAAGTTGAATAAGTCAATTAAAATCTTATGTTATTCATGTTTAACAGATTCTGACAACTGATTTTAAGTGAAAGATTTTAACTGAATTTGAACCTATTTTTATGTGTTAAATATAGCAATCAAAATCTAACCTTTTACCCTCAGATTTTGATAATTATAAAATTCAATACAAATAATTATTAACATTTGTTTTTTTCTTTCTTCCCTCCATGTATTAATCCATCGAATACATCATTCTTCATCCCTCCAATTTTTTTTCTTTTCCCTCTATTTTGTCTTTTCATTCTTCATACGTCTTCTTTTTTCCTACTCCATTTCTCTCTCCATTCTCTCTTTCCATAAGTCAACAAGCCATTTATTATGAAAACTCAATTTTTCACTATTCTCTCTTTTCTTTAGCACACATTTCTCTCTCTTCTCTCTCCATAAGTCATCAAAGAAAAAATAATATCTTTCTGGATTAGCAATTGTTCTGATTTTTGTTTTGATAATTTCTTTGCCATGTTTATAGAGACTAGTGAGATTTTTTACTTCAACAAATTTTTTTGAGAATTCTTTTCTATTAGATTTTAAATGATATCATGTGACTTTCTAAATACACTGCTAAGTAATTTAAAATTTAAACAACTCATATACATTAGATTCTAAATGAATTAAAAAATTTTAAAATCTGATATACTCTAATCTAGTGGAGTTGATTTCAACATACAGATTGAATAACACCCCTTTAATCCCTTTGTCAATGAACTTCACCAGCCTCTGAACCGTCAAAAAGCTTGAACCGTGTCTGCAGTCATTTCTCTCCCTCTATAGAACATGAATAGACATAATGAATAACTCTTTAATCTGGTTTGTTGAGATTACAAAATCTGGCGAACAACAGCATTCCAGTTAGTGGAGTAGTTCTGAATACAGGTCATTGGTATGTTTGGACTCCAGACCTGCATGTGATCCCTAGTAGTAAGTCTGATATGCAGAGCGAGCCAAGCTATAAACCTATACTTAGGACAGTGATGTCGGAACCATATGCCTTTAGCCCACGAAGCCTTTGGAGAAACGATTCTCAGTTGGTTTCTTGTAGCTTTGGTGCTGAAACTTTCTTGATAAGTATCTTCCGATGATCTCCAAATATAGTTATTGTCAGTGTTAACTCTGTATGGTTGTTTAACACCCTCTATCTCGTCTTCAATTCTATTCAGAATTGTAATTCGATGTCTCCGTCTCCGATGAGTGAGAATCACATCCTGCACTGTACTCTCTTCTGATATTCCGAGATCAATGAAACCTCTGTCACCAGTTAGCAAATGGAGTTTGCCCGTCGGTGCCCATCTATCATGCCAAAATGAGGATGTGCTTCCATCTCCAATGTCCATCTTTAGAAACGATTCTGCTATATGTCTAACTTTCAGGATTTGCTTCCACATCCACGAGCCTGGAATCTGTCCATGTGGACCTGGAGTTAGCCAAATCGATGGGGTTCTCCCAAGATTTTGTTTGGTCCAGCAACCTAAAGGGAATCCCGAGCCGTTAGAATTCTCCATAAAAGCTTTAATACGCACACCTCATAAGCTTCACGTAGACATTTTAACCTCCTTCTTCTTTGGGCTTACAAACATCTTTCCAAGCAATCTTAGCTCTCCACGGATTTAGGTCTGTCCCTGACCATAAAAAAAGCAGAGCATAAACTCTTGATTTCTTCAATGCATTTGTTTGGTAATCGGAAAGCCGACATCCAAAAATTTGTAAGACTGGCAATTATAGAAGTTAAGAGCTGCAATCTGCCTGCATAAGAAAGAAATCGGGCTGTCCAAGAACCAATCCTGCTCTTTATTCTGTAAATCAATGGGGCGTAATCCAAAGATCACATATTCTTCATCAGTAAAGATAAGCGAAGGTATCAGACAGATAGTGAACCAAAATCAAATGGAAACCGCTGAGCAATTGCTGCTCTTGCTGCTGGGGATAGACCAGCTAAATATGCAGTGGAGTTCTCCTCGAGAACTCATCAAACACTGAGATAATGCCTTCAACAGATTGCAGGTTCCCATCCGAGAAAATCATAAGGTCGTTTGCAAAACAAAGATGCATCAACCCTATATTCGAACACTTATGATGATATCCAAACCGTTGTTGTGCTGCTGCCGTGTCTAGCATTTTAGAAAGGATGTTCATGCAGATAAGATAAGGAGAGAGGGAGTATCCTTGTCGAAGACCCCTGGAGCTTTCAAAATACCCTGTCAATTCTCCATTCACCTGAACTGAGAAAGAAGCATTCGAGATACAAAGTCTGATCCAATGAAGAAATTCCGTAGGTATCTGCATAGCTTCGATAATTTTTAGCAGAAAATCCTATTGCACTGTATCAAAAGCATTCGAGATGTCTATTTTTAGCGCACATCTAGGAGAGATCGTATCTTTGTGATACCCTGCAACCAGTTTCGAGGCAAGACGCAAATTTTTTAATGAGCAAACGATTCTGAACAAAAGCTGATTGGTTTGGAGCTATAAACTTCGCTAAGATTCTTTCGAGTCTGTTAGCAACAATCTTATAAAATATTTTTTTTCAAATTAAAATTTAAACTTTGTGAACCAGGTTTTGATATCAAACTGAATTTTTAGATTTCTTCACCAGTTTTACAATATAACTCAGTATTTAGTTTAACTTGAATTCTACTATAAAAGATTTTCAATTTGCTAATTAATTTGATTTTCAAACACTGCTGATTTTATAACAAAAAATTGAGATACTGTTACTATTTAAGGGTTACAGATGCATAAGTAAAATGGTTAAATATCTACACATTAAATAATTTTATTTAATCTAAATCAACAAAAAAATTTCTAAATTACTTGAGTTTCAGTTCCACCTATAGGCGTTGTGCCACTCCGTTCCTACCTCAAGATGAAACTATTTGACCACGACACTTGGTTAACTAGTTATGTTGCATCCCAGAAATTATATAGAGTTGTATACAGTAAAAACTCTATAAATCAATAATATTGGGACTTTGATAATTTATTAATTTATAGAGTTATTAATTTATAGATTTTAAAGAAAAAAATTTGTTTATTTCTTATTAATTTTAAAAGAGATTTGTTTTAATAGATTATAATTTTTTAAAAAATCTTTCTAAAACTAAAAATAAGTTACAAAAAAATTTCATTTAAAATAAATTAAAAACATCACTAAACTTATATTTTAGTAGATTATTTTACTTATATGTTTACGTCAGATTTTTTTTATAGTAAATTGTTAATTTATGATATTAATGTGATCAAATATATATAGAAGAGTTTTGTTAAAGTTATTATCTTAAATCTTTTCGAATTGTATCTTATTTTGAACCAACTCGGGACCATGAAAAATTATTAATTTATCGAGTATTAATTTATAAAATTTCTACTGTATCTTAAAAATCGACATGGATTTTGTTATCCACATCTATCTATGTCATGCATTTGAGAAAAACCTTGCCCATAATGAGTTGCATTAAATTAGAGAAGTACTAGGAAGGTCCAATATTATGAAAATTATCATCACCAAGGTGTTTCAGAGGCCAATCATATATAATACATAATGTAAATTGTTTACAAATTTAGTAGACGTTAGTCGAACGGTTGAGAAGGACACAACACCTAGTTGATTAATCAGATATTAGTTGAGGATTTGTTTGCCATACTATTATATCTTTATACAATTATTGGTTCATGGATTTGGCCTAAGCCAATACATAGTCAACTATTGGATTCGATTCTATACAACTTTATTTTGGTTAGATAATTGACTTCATGTGGGTTATATATTAGATACCACTGGTGTTAATGGTCCTTGTAATCTGGATATTCAGATAACCGTAATTAGACGCAATCAAATCCGTCATGATTCATTTTGCTTCTCTACCTAAATTTTTGCTTAGGTGAGATGTAATTTATGGTGACATGACCAGCTTCCATGGATCATTGAAGTGTAGTCTAGATTGAATTGGTCTAAGTTAGTAGATTTAGTCAAATTGAATAAGTTGACATTTTCCTAGTTTGTAGGAAACAACTTTGTAAGTTACTGAGTCTTTTTCGAAAGTTTAGTTGTACGCTCTCAAGTCTATTTAAGAGACTTGATCTGCATTAAGTTGAACAAGAGAATTGAAATATTCACTCAAACTTTCTCTGAATAACTTCAGATTAACGCTGTTTCTATCTTTGGTTTGCATCAAGTGGTATCAGAGCTTGCTAAAATCTTGGTAAGAAAAACAAGAAGTGAAAAAGAGTTCACTATGAGTATACCAAAATTCGATGGTGACTATGAACATTGGGCAATACTCATGGAGAATTTGCCATGATCAAAGAGTGTAGGATCTCAATGAAACTGGAGTCTCACTGCCAGAGAGGAATGTGATACCGATGAAAGTGCAGATGAACCGAACTTTCAGAACCTAAGCTCAAATATCTCAAGATAATGAACTATCTTTTTGCCTCTACTGATAAGAGACTTCTCTAAACCATTACAAAGAAGGACACTTCAAAGGACATATGGGAATCAATGAAAACAAAGAATCCACAAAAGAAAAGGGTGCAGAGTGCACATCTTTAAAGACTACAAAAGAGCTTTGGAGTATTAGAGATGAAAGAAGGAGACACAATCACAAATTACTTCTCCAAAGTAAAACTGGTGGCAAACAAAATGAGAAATATGGGAAAAGACATACAGGATGCTAAGGTGATGGAGAAGATCTTGCAAACTTTGGTGGAAAAGTTCATGTATGTGGTTTTTGTAATTGAAGAGTCAAACACCATAAATAAGCTTTTGAGGATGATAACAGAATCCGAACAAGAGAAAATGAGAACATGTTTTCAAGACGGAGATTTACAGGCTAGAAGGTGGTAGAGGAAGAAGAAGCTACCAAGGAAGAGACTGTGGAGGAAGAGTAAGGGCTCGAGGAGGCACATGCTTTGCCAAAGCCACGGTGGAATGCTAAGTGCCACAAAATGGAACATTCAAGTATGAATGTCCAAGCTGGGAGAAATGAGCTAATTCTTCTGAAGATGAAGAAGAAGATATGGTGCTCATGATACACATTGATATGATCAAGGCTGAAGATAAACATGTATGGTTTTTGGACTCAGGATGCAGCAACTGCATGTGTGCAACAAAGGAGTGGTTTTTGGAGGTTGACGACTGTTTTCGGTAGAATGTCAAGCTGGAAGACGATCGGAGATTGGTGGTAGAAGGGAAGGGTAATCTACAAATCTAAAGTAATGGCTTTACCCAGATCATCACCTCAGTCTATTTTGTTCCAGGATTAAAATATAATTTATTAAGTGTGGGAAAACATCAGCAGAAAGAACTGAGTATAATGATCAAAGATGATGCATGTGAAATATAGCACAAGAAGAGAGAAGATTGGTTATGCACTCAACAATGTTGAAGAACAATATGTCTTTTATACTTGCAGCTGTAAAATGACCAAAAGAGAAGGAGGAATCACACTATCTGAAAATATCTAACACGAATGATCTATGGCATAAGATATTTGGCCACTTGAGCTACAACGGCATTCAGACCCTTTTGGAGAAGAAAATGGTGGATGGTTTGGGCTCTGTTGTTTTCAATGGTGCTGTGTGTGAAGTGTGCATGAAGGATAAACATAATCGAGAAAATATTCCTAAAACAACATATGGAAGGCAAGCAGAGGACTTGAGCTGGTGCATACTGAATATATGCAGAAAAATCACACCAACATCAGAGTGTAGAAAGAGGTACCTAATCAACTTTAAAGACGATTACAATAAAAGGTGATGGACATACTTCTTGGTGGAAAAATCAGAAGCTTTTCATGTTTTTAAAGAGTTCAAGGCTTGAGTAGAAAGAAAACTAGGTGAATCTGTAGTGTACTTAAAGTCTGATAGGGGAGGAGAATACAAATCCGAAGCTTTCCAGAATTATTGTAAAGAGCAAGGAATAAAGAGACAACTGACAATGACATATACTTTTGATAACACTGTATTTGTACCCATTTTCATTAACATTGTTTATGATTTTTGAAAGGTTTTAATTAATTTAAAGCCTTTTTTATCATGTTTTTCCTATATTTGTAGTTTTAAGACTCTTTTCAGGTTATTTAGGTAAAAACAATCCAAATTGGAGAAAAATCTATTTTAGGCCAATTTCGGTCCGTCAGAAGTTTCACATCCGATAAAGATCTTCTCATCATCTGATCAAGCTCACATTTGGACACATGATAGAGGAGACAACCAGGTTTATAATTCAACTGGATTAGACGAAATCAACAATTAGATCATAAGATATCTCTAATTTACTGAAAGCATATTCTGCAGTCTCGTGAAAGAAGCAAAAAAAAGATTGAAGTTGTGACCT